AAAATTTTTTTTTTTTTTTTTTTTTTAAGAAAAAGGATAAGAACAAACCTCAGACTTGCTCTCGTAGCCTTTGTGTAGGAGTGAGGGCAACTAAAAGGCCCTAGACTTTGTTTATATATCTGATTTTAAACTGTCAAAGATACACGACCTACACTGTATATTCTATTGCCAGCTCACTATCGTATGAGCTAATAAAGCCATGTCTTAATTAACCCCTATCACTTGCCTATTGTTTTTCTTCCTTTGTGACCAAGCTAACCATACACCTTCCGTTGCAGATTAGAAAGCAGCCCAAAATTTCACTCAGTTTCAATGTCTGGCTGCTGAGCCTTCTCAACCACATCAACCACAAGCAGGGATTATTGTAATTCTACAACATTCTGAAGGAGAAGAAAAAATAAACAGAGAAAAAATCTTCTATTACAGCATACACTAAAATCCTCATTGTCTGACATGAAAGTAAACTTTCCAACCATCCTGTTGAAGCTGTGATTTCCCCAGGCTGCCATTCAGTACAGACATATTATTGCTCTGCCTCCCCCCCCGCCCCAAACGGAGAGCACAAAACATAAGACAACACAAAAATCTCCAAATGCTGCTGAAGTATACTTAGCCACAAGCCTCACTTAATCATGCTTTCAACTCCCTCCTTAATATGTCAGCAGTCACACTAAAGTTTTCTGACTGAAACCTGAACTAAATCTACTTGACCTACAGCAGAGCTACACAGAGCAGGGGACATAATACATGGCATGACCGAGTTATCCTAGAACAGTTTAAGAAAAGCTGCATATAATTCTGTCTAGCCATATAGAAAGCAGTCCAACTTAACACTTCCAGGACACAGACTTCCCAAAGTAAACAAATCATTGGAATACTTGTATATAGATTTCATATCTGCATTCCCAGATTGTGAAGAGTAGCCATGTATTTTAATGTATGTAATTTTAATGCCTTTAATAACCAAGTGTTTGGGTCATTTTTAGTACTCAGAAACTAAATTAGCATGATAAAACAAACATAATATCTGGGGGTTTTTTCCCTCCATGCTCCCAGCCTGGAATCTCCCTCCCTTTAAGCTCTGCCTCCTGTTCCTTACTTTGCCAGCAAGCAGGAGAGAATATTGTAATCCCCCCTGCTCTCCCACTATTTCTTCACCACTTCTCCAACCCTCCCCAGGACTGCACATACAATAGGAATACAGGCAAGCCTCACACTGTGAGGCTCCTCCATTCCTCTCCCCCTGGCACATTCAGGTACCTCTGCAGCACCTACAAACTACCCTGCATCTGCAAAGTTCTCTCATCACCCTGTCATCCACACAGAAACAGGCTGTTCCCCTATTATCAGGCATTGATCATTTCAGTATCTGACTGCTGAAATACTGAAAATGAGACCTAGAAGAACGTGCACAATGCAAAGGGATCATCTCTGGATAGATGAACAAGGTATTCAAACTCATTAAAATAAGTGAAAGACAAAAAGAAAGGTTCATTATTTTAAGTCTGTATCAAAACTACCACTTGTTTCAAATGAGGGTACAAGAGTAATAAAACAAAATCTTGTAAAAATCTGACAAACCGTACAAGTCAAAAATCTCCAATTGACATTTCCACTGTTCATTCATGCAAAACCAACTTCTGGGAAGATTATTTACAATGAGACTTTCATCCACAGATCTGCAGCCAAAATTCAGGAGGATCACAAATTTTAAGCAATGAAGTCAATTGACAGGAATATTCAAGTTGCTAGTAAACACTCCAGTATCTCCTATACTAAAAGGTAAAATCTTGCCTGACTTGAGCATTTAAAAGATAACCAAACTTATGTACACCAGGTTTTATAACTTCCTTTTCATATATAAAGCTTAACACCAATATTTAATAAAAAAAAAAGAAAATAAAAGAAAAAGAACATTAGCATTCTGGCAGACTTGAAACAAACAAAAAATAAAGATCAGACCACATGATAATTATTCCCAGATTCCCAGTGTTCTGGGATCCACATTGTCTATTAAATATATTTTAAGATGTCTTTGCTTTAGTTGTTTTGGTATTTCACAGAACATCTTAGAACTGTTTAATGAGGTTCTAAATTTAATTCACTTCTACTCTTTTTGATTTGGATACACCACTCATCATGACTATTTCTATGTTCTAACCACACACACAAGAGCTCTCCCTGAATTTTTCTGACCATGCTACTGGGTGGTACTACAATTCCTAGCAGAAGCAATGACAGTGCCACACAAGAATACACAGTAGTGCAGTACTTGACTGTTGCATAATCTTTGCTCCCACTCAGCTCGGCACAGTTGTTGCCTGCAGGCCCACAGAGGCACGCTGCTGGGATTTGTGGATTGCAATGGGAAGCAGGTGAATACAACACACCACAGTAGATCAAAGTACAGCTAGAACAATCCATTCATTAGATCAGTAACATACCGTTACTCCAGATATAATCGGGGCTTTTCCTTCAATTAGTTTATATATTTCTTGAACTGCTTCCTCATCACTCTTGTCTTTAAATCGCTTCTTGGAGAGTTCTTGAAGGGCTTCCTTAAACTGCTCAAAAGTGATAGTTCTGGAAGACTTTCCCCTGTCAAAACACACAGAAATCGAAAGAAATTACAAGAGAGCACAACAAGCATTCCAAGAATAGCAGAATGTTTCCAGTTTACCACAGTGAACAACAGAAAAACCACAACAGAACAGGAAGATCCATGCAGCCCATTTATGGTGTCAAATAAAACACATATCCCAGCAACATCACTTGCTTTTTTATGTACATCAGTAGGACAGCACTTTAGAAAATTCTCTTGATGAACATTCAGAAATAAAGAGGAATTAAAGGGACCTGGCCTGCTGTCAGACTGCCTGCAGCTCATCAAATCAAATACAGTCTCATTTGGTTGATCACTTATAAAGCCTGCATGCATAAAAGACAAGAACTGAAGCATCTTAGCTGAGTTTTATTATTTAATATTTTTTATCCCTCTTTGAATATCTGGTTATGACATATTCATAGGTCACTATTCATGTATTCACAAGAAAATTAAAAATAATGCTGTTCTGTAAAGCAAACTATTGAAAAGCATTTAAAAACCTGAAATTCCTCTTCTATTAAAGACTGTCAAATTTTAAAGTGATGTATTTAAATTCAGTATCTGTTTTCCTTCTTAGGCCATCACCTTCATAAAACATTCAAAGGTTCATGTAAAACATGAGTCTGATAAACTCATAAACACCCCATAAATTCAGAGCTGAAGACTTGCTGTTGTTTTCACTAATAGGAAGCCCATTTTTCCACACTAGTAGATTACTTGCTTAGGTTTACTTCCAGTGGAGAAGATTTTGCTATTGCAGTGTACAGTGCAAAATCTGACAGGTAGAGTGGGAAATTCACACTTTACAAACATCTATTTATACAGTCACTCCTTGAGATCTTTTACACCCATCAGGTCAAAATGTTTCAATTGATAAAACTCATACTAAGAAACTCAGCATTCACTGTGGACATGTCCTAACTAAAAGGGGATTAATGCAAGTCTGTTTTCTAGCATTTTAAAATCCAGAGACCTGGACAGGCTGGAGCCATGGGCTGAGGCCAACTGGAGGAGTTTCCCTAAGGCCAAATGCCGGGGGCTGCCCTTGGGCCACAACAACCCCCAGCAGCGCTACAGGCTTGGGGAGGAGTGGCTGGAGAGCTGCCAGTCAGAGAGGGACCTGGGGGGGTTGATTGACAGGCAGCTGAACAGGAGCCAGCAGTGTGCCCAGGGGGCCAAGGCGGCCAATGGCATCCTGGCTTGTGTCAGCAATAGCGTGGCCAGCAGGGACAGGGAAGGGATCTGACCCCTGTACTCGGCACTGGTGAGGCCGCACCTCGATTCCTGTGTTCAGTTTTGGGCCCCTCACTACAAAAAGGACATTGAATGACTCGAGCGTGTCCAGAGAAGGGCAACGGAGCTGGTGCAGGGTCTGGAGCACAGGTCGTACGGGGAGTGGCTGAGGGAACTGGGGGTGTTTAGTCTGGAGAAGAGGAGGCTGAGGGGAGACCTCATCGCCCTCTACAGCTCCCTGAAAGGAGGTTGCAGAGAGCTGGGGATGAGTCTCTTGAACCAAGCAACAAGCAACAGGACAAGAGGGAATGGCCTCAAGCTGAACCAGGGAAGGTTTAGGCTGGTTTATTAGGAAGCATTTCTTTCCAGAAGGGGTTGTTAGGCGTTGGAATGGGCTGCCCAGGGAGGTGGTGGAGTCCCCATCCCTGGAGGTGTTTAGGAGTCGGGTTGACATAGCGCTGAGGGATGTGGTGTAGTTGGGAACTGTCAGTGTGAGGTTAATGGTTGGACTGGATGATCTTCAATGTCTTTTCCAACCTAGATGATTCTGTGATAATGTAGTGGAGTACACACTGTTACTTTCTTTTCCCTAATACAAAACCATTTTTACTGTTTTGCATTTTAAAATTTACATAGGGGTCCACAGTATTAGTGAGATTACTCACTATTTAAAAAATAAAATGCTATTAATTCTATCACACACAAAACATACCTTTTCCCTATATTATTAGATTATAGATTCCTTGATCTTTAGAACAAGAATTTATACACCAAAATTTAGCCATACATTTTAAGCTAAAATTTAACAGGTTAAATAAAAAAATTTTCAAAAATGTTCTGATACTTACGCAGATGCAACCTTAAATAGTACCATCTTTAATAGCAGATGTTTTCAGTTGCTGGCTACATTATGAAACCCTCAAAGTCAAAGAAATATTTGAGAGTCCATGTTACTGGGAAACATGCTACTACATGAGTTTTGTTCACTGCTTAAGCATTTCTTCTTTATGCCAATTTAGAGGGCATTTCAATCAAATGAGAAAAAAACCAAAACCCAATAATCCTCACATTACAAAACCTAGACCAGTCCTTTCAACAGTGACAGCTGTTTATACAGAAATAAACAATAGATGCAAGGACTGAGAAATTGGGCACTGGCAACAGAAATCTCAGGCTAGAAAAACTATGCATAGAAATCTAATTTTAATTCAAGCACCTAAAGAGCCACTTCAAAGAGCAATTAATCTCTCTATGATCAATTTATCTTTGATCTTCTCTTGGACACCTTCAGAAGACAAATCCCTCTCAGTTGGAGGGTGCCTCCACTAATGAAAGGGGGAAGTGAGATTTCACAGTTTTAGACACTGTTAGGAAGTGAATCCTATTTCAGTTAAACAAACACAAAATGAAATTTTATCCCAGGCTTTTAAAGTAAGGAGAAATTGTTTTTTCACAACAAAATTCAACACTAATGCAATCCTTTACATACCATTCATTACTAGTATCCTTTATTATCAACACAGCCCAACATGTAGCAAATCCCTACATTCCTCACACTCCCTATTTTAGCCAGGAATAAACTTTACTTGTTTTTTGACCAAACTTTGCTGCTTGCAATTACATGTCTGCTTTAGGTGAAGTATATGCTGGAGTATCTCATGGAATTAGCTAGTAAATATCATCATGACAGTGGAAATGAAGAATACAATTCAAGGTTTCATTAATCAGAAAGACACAAGGAATAAACTGCAATTAACTACCCGGAATTTGTCCAGGATCCTCATCAGTAGGATTAACATCCCTCTTCTGATGCAATATGTCCAAGAACTTCTAACTAGCTCAAGAGGTCAGGACTTAATTTTGTTTTAACTCTCATGTAGAAAAAGAGAACATTGGCAATCACTGCAAAGCTTCAGCATAACAACACACTAAGGCCCTTGTTCACTACAGACTCACAGTCAAGTCTAACATACAGACCTTTCAAATGCAATTTTTTGTAGCACATAGGTTACCTGGAAGTCTCAAAATAGGATTGCTACAGTTTAGCTTGGATCATCAGTCACAATCATCACAATAAGGAAGGGAATGACCATTTTCAGAAAACTGTTGAAGTTAATGTTGATTCCTTTTACTAACACATGTAGAATTTTGGGTTCTGCACTTATCAAATAGATGAACATGACTTTTTTTTTTTTTTCTGTATTAAAAGGAAAAATACGTAAATGAGGATGCCAAGAGGAACAAAGAGCATCTTCTAGTCTAAGATATTGCCATTCCTACCTCTCACATTTGGTCTTTTCCCTGTCACACTAACATAGGGAAAGGAAATTAGTTTTTTTTCCCCCATCCAACTTAAGGTGTAACCACAAATTGGATACATATATGAGCAATGTAGTATTGCTGCTAGACCCAAAAGAAAGTGTGCATCATGGTGGATATTCTTTACCAGCAAAAAACACTAACTGTAGTAACACTAAAAATAGGATTGTGAGTAATTTTTTTAACTATATGCCAAGTAAAAGTTTCCTAGATAAAGCAGCTTTAATTTTTAAACTCATGATCTTTTTCTACACTCCGAAAACATCCTCTCTTCACATCCATCTATTACAACATTATCAAACCCATTTGAAAAGCAACATAAATAACTTAAAAATTCTATAGTTGCAAAGTACGCTAAATCTTGTGGAAAACCCTGAGAACATAACTCTTGATTAACTCACATGTTCTGGCACTTTTGGTAGCTATGTATGGTACCTATATGCCATGTACCATAGAATCTAAATTACCAAGCAGCAACACTACAACCCCTCCTGTCTCTAGAGACAGGTCTCAAAGAGCTTTGAGCAGCTGCCATCACTGTTACCTGTCAGGACAGCATGCTCCTACCCTCTCTTCTGTCTAAACATGGGTTTAATGTAGAGAAGAAAACAGACTGAGTATGTAGAAATGATGGAGGCAAAGTTGCCAACAAACCTACATAGCTCTGGATTTATACACTCTTGCCAAAGGTTCAGCCCCCTCCAGGTCCACAGAAATTCCCTGTAAAGAAGGAATTTGGAGTACTAGTGGATGAAAATTAGACTTGAGGTGGCGATATGCACTTGCAGCTCAGAGAGCCAACCATACCCTGGGCTGCATCAAAAGAAGCGTGGCCAGCAGGTCAAGGGAAGGGATTCTGTCCTCCTACTCCTCTCGGGCAAGACCGCCCTGCAGTACTGCATCCAGCTCTGGAGTCCTCAACATCAGACAAACATGGACCTGTTAGGGTCCAAAGGAGGGCCACAAAAATGATCAGATCAGTTGAACACCTCTTCTGTGAGAAAAGGTTGAGAGAGTTGGTGTTGTTCAGCCTGGAGAAGGCTCTGGAGAGACCTTATTGAGGCCTTTCAGTCCTTGAAGAGGGCCTTATAAGAAAGATGGGAACATACTTTTTAATAGGGACTGTAGCAATAGGACAAGGGGGTAATGGTCTTAAAATAAAAGAGGGTAGATTTAGACTAGATATAAGAAGGAATTTTTTTATGATGAGGGTGGTGAAACACTGGAACAGGTTGCCCAGAGATGTGGTAGATGCCCCAGCCCCAAGGTCATGTTGGATGGGGCTCTGAGCAACCTGATCTAGTTGAAGATGTCTATGCTCATGGCGGGAGGCAGTTTGACTAGATGACCTTTATAGGTCCTTTCCAAGTCAAAGTATTTTATGAAAAATTGTAATACTATGAAGCCTGCATGACACACCACACAAGGCAGTTGTACCCTA